AGAGAGAGAGAGAGAGAGAGAGAGAGAGAGAGAGAGAGAGAGAGAGAGAGAGAGAGAGAGAAAAAGGGTCCGAGAGCCAGTAAGAGGAGAACACGTGCCTAAACAAACGCTGCCAGGAGCAAGAGAGCGCAGCGCCAGAGAGAGGAGCGCCTGACAGCACTGCAATAAGTTGCATTTAGATATCAGCAATTAACACACAATTGGTATGAAAACCTTCAAAAACCACACATTTATCGTCTTTAAATGACAAAGTAGATTTGCAAGTGGTTGAGCTTGCAAGTAGCTCCAAAAAGTTCAGAGACACAGTCCGATCGCTTGCCATTTATGATTTCAAGTGGTTGCGTTTCTCGTTATGTTCAGAGAGTCTTACAGCTGTCAAACGTCGCGGGTCGTGTGCAATCTTTCGATGACAGACACGATTTTTTTCGGACAAGCATCTATTGTAATATAGTCTACAACTTCCTCGAGTGGTTTATACGGATAATCCCATTGGAATGTGTCGATCCGCAGCAACAAGTCTGATCGACGCTACAACAAGTTGACGTGTGACGCCGGGACCGGCTGAACTTAGGCACGCCCACCTCAAGGCTTTCCCCGACCCGACCCGACCCTTGGCTATGAACATTGCTGCCTGCTGGCATTTTAACTCTGAACAAGCTCGTCTCAAGCTCGCTCACTGATCATCATGAAGTTCACCCTTGTGCTCCTGATGGCCCTGGTGGCTTACGCCTCGGGCAAGGTCTGCTATGGTTTGTACTCGACCACGGATTGCAGCGGCAGCGCCAGCCAGTCGGACTGCATCGCCACCGCGACTTGCGTCGACACCAGCCACAACGCCGACGATGACGACAGCGAATCCGCCGTCATTGCCACCTGCTCTGATAACACGGCCAACCTGACCATGTACGGCACCACCGACTGCTCGGATGAGGGCATGGCCATGAGCTTTCCCGCCAACGAGTGCAGCACCTTCATGGGCGGCGCCATCAAGATCACCTGCTCTTCCTTCTCCGCCTCGGCCGCCGCTGGTCTCGCCGCCCTTGGCGTCGTCGCTGCTCTCCTCTTCTAAGCGACCCTATGTGCGCCCCTCATTTATCTTCCCAGAGACCCGGCCGGCTCGCGCGGCGTAGCTCCGTCGGCTTGACCCTTTTTTTTTTTATTTGTCTTAGTCTCTTCCAATTGAAAAACCAAGACGGCCATCTCTCCCTCTCTCTCTTTCACGCTTCCTCACCCTTCCTTGAAGATGCGGCTCAGGCACCACCCAAACACTCTGGCCAGGGCATGTGAAGAAAAGACCGAGGGCTGGCGATTTGACTTGACATCAGGGCAAGTGCCTTTTGCACTTTTACGGATGTGCTCGTCTCGCTCGTCTCTAGGCCAATGGCTTATTGACAAATCGCTTTTCAGCATGTGGTCGCTTACAAGACTTTGCTTATAAGCACAATCTCGCTTGTAAGCCAAGTTGACTTGATCACAAAGCGTCACTTTTTCGAGAGGCCAGGCTAGGCTTGAAGGGGGTGGGATAAACTTGCATCATCCATGTTAAAGACACCACACAATTTTTAACTCTCAAACCAATACAAAAAACTTTTGATTGGCAACTGTGGCGTGGTTTCCCAGCAAATGGCTTGGCGCTGGCTCACACACCCCCTACGCCCCGAACCCCTTGCGCACGCCTCGGACCTTGACGACCTAGGTATGGCCAACAAAGGTGTGGTGGCAGCAGGAGTGCGGCGGCGTGGTTGAGGAAGAGTGGCGGCGACAGTGGCGGCGGCGGCGACAGTGGCGGTGGCGGTTACGGCAATAACGGCAGCGGCAGCGGCAAGCGTTGTTGTTGCTGTCGATTGCCGGTCAGTCAGGCAGTGGCAATGGCACAGCGACCCGTCAAACTGTACGATCGCCGTCAAACTGTACGATCGCCGTCAAACTGTACGATCGCCGTCAAACTGAACGATCGCCATCAAGGTCTCCCCTTGGTGCTGATCGTGTGTAGGGTGAGGCGGGGTTTACCCAAACGCACACCGTCCAGTTCAGCTTGATCCTGCCAGCCATAACAACAGACGGTATCAAACGGTTGTGCTGTTTTTTTACGTCGATCAACAGGGGCGTGTGTGTATGTGTGGATGTATCGATGTGTGGGTGTGGGTTTTCAAAGCTTTGACATGTGTGATCATGTTTGAACCGTGTGAGAATGGTGTGGGAAGCGTGTGTCCCTTGACCCACAGCGGGATACGCCCACCCAAACACAATGCCTCGCTCGCGCAATCCACTGCTACACACTACACACTACACACTAAAACAAAACACAAACATGGACAGCCCTTCTGCTTATGCTTCAGCTTATGCTTAAGCCAATAACCCTTACTCCTTACGCACCTTACACACCTTACACACCTTACACACACCTGCAGCACCTTACACACACCTGCAGCACCTTACGGACCTTACGCCTTTGATCCCGGCGAGCCCGATCCCGATCGCAGGGAGGTGCCAGTGGTTTTTCCCAAGTGGCATTTTACAGTCTCACTTTGTTCAACGGATTATCTCCTTTCTCTTTTCAACAAGCCTCACCTTCATCATGAAGTTCACCATTGCCATCCTCTTCGCCCTCATGGCCATTGCTTCGGCCAAGATCTGCGTCACCGTCTACACTGACACCGAGTGCTCGGAGGGTGCCCAGAAGCAGTGCATTGACAGCAACAAGTGCGAGTCCAGCGGTGGCTACTCTGCCAAGTACACTTGCTCTGGCGATGAGTACACCCAGCTCACCTACTCCAACACTGACTGCTCTGGCGAGCCCTCTGGCAACACCACTTCCACCGCCAACGAGTGCGTTGACCTCGGCGGTGCCTCCACCAAGGTTACCTGCTCCACCGTCTCCGCCACCGCTGCCGCCGGTGTCGCCGCTCTCGGTGTTGTTGCCGCTCTCCTCTTCTAAATTTGCTAAAGCCGGAGACAAGTGTCTGGCGTCTGTGATTTGATGATGCTGACACAATTGTTTGGTTTTTGAGTTTTTTTTCTATTTCTTCTCTCTTGTTGACCTTTCTCTCGGCTCGCCAGCCCAGTGTCATGTGCACGGGCTGAAAGGCTTTGTTGAAATTGAAAAGTGAGGCTGAACTACATTCTGTGGAGCACAGGAGCACAGGACGCGGCATGAATCATGGGAACCAGATTAGCCAAGGGCAGGTACAGCTCTATCAAGGGTCGCCAAAGAACATGACCACCACCTGTGTCCCGATGAGATGATTACAATCGCGCGAGAGAGAATGAACCATACCCTGCTGCCCTGCTGCGGTGTACACCTGGCCATGCAAAGGCCCGTTTGATGAGGGGCTCAACCATTGGGCTGCTCGACGACGTGATGGCGGCTCGCGGTGTTGAGCGGGTACGCCCTGTCCCTCTCGGTCTGTCCCAAGCACACACCACCCCTCCTATTCTTAATTTCCCCCTTTAAAATCGATACCGTCTAAAACGGTCTCGACATGAAACGGGCTGAAAACTATTCAAAAGTTTTGCATTGGTGATGCCATGACGTAAAAGTGAACTGGTCTGTGTGGGTTTGTGGGTCCTCAACACACTCACCTTCAAAGGGGTGATATGTGTTCCAGAGGTTGGTACGATCTTGGTGAGTTGTAGTACATGCAGTGCATCCGCTGAGCTGTAAGCAGAGGTAAGGCTCGAAGACACCCTACAGCGTGTCTGGGGGTTGATCCCCTGTTAAAATCACACTCCAGTCCGACATGTCTGAAATTCATGCGAATACAATGCAGAGGTTATGCCTCGATGCTGTTATGTCTCTGCAATATCATCACGTTTTCCTCGCTTCTCTACCGCCAACGCCCCCCTATTCCCTCATGCCACTCTCTGCATGTGTGTCGCTTAAACTCTCTCTTCTGACGGCATTTCTCTCTCTCCGTCTCCTCTCTCTCTCTCTCTCTTTCCGTGTCTCGACCGCCATTATGATGAGCAAGGTACTGATGGGCCTGGTGCTGCTGGGCTTTGTGGCCATGGCTTCGGGTAAGGCTTGCGCCACCTTCTACACCGACTCGGACTGCACGTCCAAGACCGGCAGCACCGAGTGCTACGCGACCAACAAGTGCCTCTCCGAGTCGTCGGGCCCCTACACGGTCAACGTGATGGTCACTTGCACCAACTCCACCGGCAAGATGGAAATCTACACCACGGGCTCGTGCAGCGGCACCCCCGCCTCCACCACGACCTACGTTGTCAACCAGTGCGTCTCGGCTGATGACGATGACTTTGACGGTGATGATGACCTTTCTGGCGCCTACGCCATGTACACCTGCGCCTCCGTCGCCACCACCGCCGCCGCCGGTGTGGCCGTCATGGGTGTCCTTGCCGCCCTCCTCTTTTAAGCGCAACGCTCTCGCGTCCAAGAGGGGTCATGGCACCCAAAGCTTTGGGTCCCATGGCCATGCTCACGCTGCAGGTTTCCCTGCTTTCTCCCTGAGTTTGTGCGCCCTCATAACCTCTCTTCCATGTAATAAGAGTTGATCCCTTGCTGATTGGATGAATTGATCCGTGCGGGCCGCCAGATCGTTTGAGATCCTTGAATCACACCCTTCTCAGAGTCAGAGAGAGAGAGAGAGAGAGAGAGAGAGAGAGAGAGAGAGAGAGAGAGTTTAAGACTTTGAGAGAGTTTAAGACTTTGAGAGAGAGAGAGAGAGTTTAAGACTTTGAGAGAGAGAGAGAGAGTTTAAGACTTTGAGAGAGAGAGAGAGAGTTTAAGACTTTGAGAGAGAGGGGGAGGGAGAGACAGAGAGAGAGAGAGAGGGAGGGAGAGAGAGGGAGAGTTTGAGAGAGATTGAGAGAGAGATTGCAGCAATACCAGCATCAATTCCATACATCCCTCATGGCGATCAACCCTAAGGAGGGAAAGCAATGATGACAACATCTTCGGGTGTTCCTCCCAAAGGAAGGAAAAGCGTTTCCTTCACCTAACATCCGGCGGCACTGTTACTATGGGCAGGAGAACTTGGCAACTAGACAACTGGTAGCTGCTTGAGGGCACGGCGTGCGGCAGATGGGAGAGGTAGGAGCAGCTGCTTTTTGGCGGCGGCAAAGTTTTGAAGTTGCACCAAGGCCTCGGCTGAGGGCCGGCCCGCCGGCCGCGCTGGTGCTCGCCGCAGCAGCGCCCGCCACGCTGCAACCACCTCGGGCGTCAGCATCGCCTCGACCGACTGCGCATCGCCGCCAGCGCTCGACAGCAATCGGCTGGGCGCGTCCTCCTGCACCACAAAGTCCATCCCCACTGGCAGATGGTCTGAGCCATTGCGGCGGCTAGGTAGCCGGTGCTTGCTCAGCGTGCCATAAGACTCGGTGGCTTGCGGTGCATGCCGCGCCTCGACAAGACAATTGCTCGTCACCAGCACGTGGTCGATTCGCGCCATTAGGCCGGGCTTGCAGAGCGTCACATCCGGGCTGCCTTCATACACCGAATGCAAGAGGAGCTGTGCCGACTCGGCGGCCACCATGGCTTTGGCTGCCACTGGATCCTCCAACTTGCGCACGCACTGCAGCGACTGCGCCACCGAAGGATCCTCGTCGCCGTCGTTAAAGTCGCCCACCAGCACCACGGCCGTGGTTCCCATGCCTTCGGCCAGCCGCACCACGTTGCGCATCTGCTTGATTCGGTCCGCTTCTGCCGATCGCTTGGAAATGAGATGGCAGTTGCCCACGGCCACGCTGTGCCCCGTCAGCTGGTCCTGCAGATGCAGCAACAACGCTCGGCTCCGATGCTGGGCGCTCACCACACTAAAGCGCTCGCCACGCAAGAAGGTGGCCACGCCCACTGGATGCGACACGTCACGCTTCTGTCGTGTGGCCACAACGCAAGAACGTGAGAAGATGGGCGGAAGAATAAGGCAGGGAAGGAGCGAGGGAAGAACTTGTCAAAGAGTGGCAAAGGCCAACACCCTGCACTCGCATGTCATGCCATGCCATGTCACACCAGCGCACGTACCGGGGCGTCCTGCATGATGCAGATATCAAACCCCTGTCTCCGCATAAAGGGGCAATACACGTGCTCAAACATGGCATACTCCACCTCCTGCAGACAGATCACGTCTGCCTTGCTGCGGCGCACCACGCTCTGAATTCGCGGCCAGCGATGTTTCCACAACAAGCACTGGTCGTCCTTGCCGGGAAAACTGGCCGCCCGCACCTCTGGCCGGGCTATGGCACCCATCGAGAGCAGAGCCAATGATCAGCGCAGGCCCACGTGACTCATCCTTTGATCGTTACGCCTTCTTCCCCCAAGAAAGGACAAGCGCGTCAAAACTCACCGAGATCTTCGCGTATGTAACAGTCGGCCAAGACGTTGTAGCTCAGGATGCGGATCGTCTCTGCCGTACCGCGAGACCGCTGCATTAAATCAATACTCTTCATCGCTCGCAACTTCCGCGTCAAGGCGGTGGTGGCTCTGCGACATTGCACATAATGCTCCTCCCAAGTCGACATGACGCAGGTGATCTATGTCCAGAGAGAAAACATGTTGAGGCGCTGTAGTTGCACGGCTGGCTCGAGCATCAGCGCTCGCAATCCGTCGTGGCTTACCGGTGCTGGCTGCGCAGGTGGGTCATGGAGGCTGGCGCTGAACGTTCACCGGACAATAAAAGTCAACCATGCGCTTGAAGGAGTTGCACGTCGTGCTTCCTTTTGGACTGTTGTGCTGTTCAACCAAGACCAGAGGCTGCAGAAAAATACCAGTCCAGCTCGCCCGACCTTGCCCTCTGCTTGCTCGAGTTGCCTCCTTCGCGGCAAAACTGCGGACAGCCCCGATTACGACATCAGCGAGATGTAAAGTATGTGTCTTATGTTACACTATCGATACTGGGAATCTAATTATAGGTGGGCTGGACCTCGACTTGACCTCGACCTGACCTCGATGAAGCCTCGGCTACACCTCTGTCAGACAGACAGACAGACACACACACACACACACACACACACACACACACACACACAGATGCTATGGGGCACATCACACATCAAAGACTGAGACCATTGTGGCTGATCAGGTCAATGGCGATGATGCCGAGGTCGGGCAGGCAATGGTGACAAAGGCAGCTGATCGCGGGCGCACATCGTAGGCCGTGTAGTTGGCCTCGACATAAAAACGTTCCCCACTCCACACGTCCGTCAGCACGCAGTTTGTCAAAGAGCCTAACACAATGGCAGGTCAGCTTTTCTTTTTTTTCCGCGAACAAGCAGCACGATGCCGACACACGACTAACCGTAGAGTCCAGGCACGTCAGCCAGGGCTAGGGTAATGTTGGCCAGAGCCACGTCTTGCCGATTGAACAGCACGGCTGCCGCCTGTCTCCCCGTCCATTGGGGTCCCCAAATTACAAGAATGAGGGGGCGAGAAGCGTAATTTTTTTGCGCAAGTACAAAGACCAGGTGGCAGCGAGGCCAGATGGGAGCGAGTTTCCCAAATCCAAACCGTGTTGTTGGGCAGCGGCTTGCTCCAGATCTCGGTAGCTGTGTTGAGCGCATTGGTCTGTTGTATCGCAGATCGCGGCGTCGGGGGAGAATGAGAAAACCTGGGTCGGTGATGGAATGAGTTCTTCTGGGACGGCGGGTACAGACCTCCTCGACACAGTATGCGGTGCCATCAGAGCTGGTTGCCACCAACTCGTGGGACGTCGTGTTGTAGTGCCACTTGAAGCTGCAATCCGAGCTCAAATACAGTTGCTGTCCAGTCGGCACAGTGAAGCAAAGACAGAGGTTGAACAGGCAGTGGAAGTGAGAGGGTTTCCGGAAGGGGCGCCAATTTTGTACAATCACCGTCCCAACAAAAGCCACACACACGCGCCCAACCGCGCGCGCGCACACACACACACACACTCACACGGACGGTGCGTAGACAAACCAAAAAAAAACAAAAAAAAAAAAACACTCACCCAGTCGCTGGTCGTTTTGTTGGGTGCCACGCAGGTGTTGTTGATGCCGGATCGCAATTGGCCTACGCCCACAATCCCAATTGGTGACGGTCGCCACGACTCGGCTTGCTCTGGCTTGCTTCCCGCTCGCTTCCCGCTCGCTTCTCTTCTTGCCTTGGTCGTTGCATGTCAATTCACCTTGCTGATCGATGAAAAAGCGCTCGTTGTTGCCGTCATCGCACCCCGACGTGTCAGCAGCCCACATGACCACGGGGCCCGCGCAACGCTGCAGTATGAGACGGCAGAGGCAAAAGTGTCATCAGAGTCGGGCCACAAAGGGCAAAGAGTCCCACGAGGTCTTGCCCATAGCACACCTGAACGTTGAAACAGCTGCCAGACGAGTCATCTTGAGCACAGATGGACCCATTAAACTGCTGGTTCATTTTCCATTGCTGCGTCAATGCACCTGTTGGCCTCCAACGTGACATTGCCGTGAACACCAGTTCTCTTACCAAAAACGTAACAAACTTCTGGGGCAAAGCGGCCTGCAGGAACAAAGCAACGGAACGTACCCGAGCATCTTGCTAGGACAGGGTGCGGTAAGGCCGGCAGGGCGACAGTGCCATCCGCAAGGAGCAGGCCCGATCTGCATTTCAACTCCTGTCCCGTGAGACGCGCAACTACAAGGGTGGGCAGGCAAACAGTCTCGGGCTGCGACAGGTCGTACCCAGTCGAATTGGCAATCACATCCCCGGCGTTTCCTGCGTAGGCTTGATTGACAGCAATCGCCCGCGCATTGGTCAAAAGCTATGCATTGCAACCATGAGCCACGCATCCTGATGCGCATCGTCTGGACGGGGCAAGGGTTGGGGTCAGAGCCAAGCACGGAGCGAGGTGGCGTACATCAATGATGGCTTCCGGAGCCGTGTCCAAGGGCACCCCGGCTATGAGGGGGCTTGACGTCACGCACCACAGCGCAAAGTGCGCTCGGTTCATGTCAAGGACATACAAAGCGTCGGGACTAGACGGATCGTAGGCGAGTTCACCAATACCTACTTCCAGAAAGTCTGGCAATTCACAACCAATCCGGTGGCAGATGCTGTCAATGAAGCAGCGCTCACAAAGGCAGCGCCACGCAGGCCTGAATGACGAGCAAGACGAAGCTATTGTTCACTGTACCAGGATCGTTCCAGCCGCCCGGACCAGCAAAGCTGCCGCGACCACGGAGGGTATCCAGGTTGGTCATGATATTTTCCCAGGCGGGCTGAATGTCGTTGGAGGTGCGCCACATGTTGTGCAGAGTGGGGCACCACTCGTCCCATGTGTCTAGTTGGGTTTGGGCACGGGGGATGCAAGGCTAAGGCTTGCATGCTGGGGTATCGACGTATTTCGGACGTGTTCAACCTACTGGTCTCGCAATCGTTGCGGCAGTTGGAAAACAGGACTGGGCGCCCGCTGGCATTCAACAGCTTCTCCCATCTGAGTTGTGTCCGGCCGACAACCATTCAAGTGAAAAAGCAGCAAAAGGGCGAGCGTTTGCATCGATAAAGGTTGCCAATGGCTCTTTCGGCACGGGGACAAGGAGGGCTTGGGAACAAGAGGCTAGATGTCCAAGGCAAGTCCTGATGGGAACGTACCGGCTCATGACCGTATAGGGGGGCTCGGTGCGGGCGCAGGCATCAAGCTTGAGCATGTCGATGCCCCAGGACACAAACAAGGCCACGTCTTGGGCCTCGTAGCCCTCGCTCATGGGTTTGTCCTTGTTGCAAGCCTGGGTGCCAGCCAACGAGAGACATCAGCGCGGCCCACCACATAGCAGGCGCAAGTGTCGGCTGGGGCCCATGGTCATACCGAGACACCGGCATCGGTGTAATGCCCATATTTGAAGCCTTTGCTGTGAATGTAATCAATCACCTTTTCAATGCCGTCTGGGTATTTGGCCTAGTGGCCATGGGGCCAACACCAGTCAAATCAGCGTCAGGCGCACGGTTGGGACGAGGAAGCATCGAGGCTGGTGGGTGGCGGTGAGCGCCTCTACAGCCCACCTTGTTGGCGCTGGCAAAGCCCGAGGCATTGCGAACAATTGTGCCCGTGTCTGCCCCCTCCCACCAACCGCCGTCACTGCGGTGGCAATGAGCACAAGTATAAAAGACGCGCATGGCCTGGTGAAATGCCACTCCTGACGATGCGGGACGGCAACGCGCAAGGGTCGATGACAAACACATTAATGTAGGTGTAGCCAGCGGCTTTCATGCCGTTGGAGGCCATGGCATCGGCCATGGTATAGAAGACCGAGGCATTGAAGTTGCGATGGTAGTAGTTCCAGCTGCACCAGCCCATGGGGGGCAAGCCAGCCAGACCGTTGTCCAACGCCTTTTCGCCCGACACCCACGATGAGCTTGTGCAATAGTAGAGTCCGGTCGTTCTTGCAAGGACAGGACATGCCACCCACCTTGACCGTGGCCAGCAACAGCCAAACCCCAAGCCAAGTGATCAGGCCCCAGACTCGTCTGCCCCCCGTTCCACTCTTTGCCACTGCCCGCTGCAACATGGCTGTGATACGAGGCGGCGATCAGACCCGATTCTCTCACAGTGCGTGAGTGGTAAGTGAGATCAAGATCCGTGTCAAAGCGCACGGCGCGCGGGTGTGTGAGGGTGTAAGTGTGTGAGTGAGAACGGAACCAAGATCAAGATCGAGTTCGAGAGAGAGAGAGATCGAGATCGAGAGATCGAGATCGAGAGATCGAGATCGAGAGATCGAGAGAGAGAGAGAGAGAGAGGGATCGAGAGATCGAGATCGAGAGATCGAGAGAACTCTTTTGAGCATCAGCGCCAACATCATAATTTTCTGACAAATCAACCATCAATATTATCTGACATTCCACCCTGTGTGTCGTGTGTTGTACGGCTCTATGCTTCAAGTGTAACAAATATCACAGTTTCGTCTACAAGTCCTTGACAACCGTTTCAGACGCTTCAGACGCTTCAGACGCTTCAGGTGGTGGAATCGCTGGTGCTGTTGAGCCTGCTTGCTCTTGCCCCTCGCAGGCTGAGGGTGGACGTGCATCTGGGTGATAGTGTGCAAGGGCACAGGATCAAGGAGGCGGGGCTGCCATTCGTCTCGGGTTTCTGTGGGTGTTTGACGACAACGCTTGGGTGGCGGTGAGCTTCGACCAACGGTTTGCGCCTGTTTGCATCGCATCATCGTACTGGCGCCATGGCGGCAACACGCGTGACCGAGCAGTTTCCGCCCAACTTGGATGTGACCAAGGCACCTCTGGCGTTTGGACAACGTGCTTTGCCCAAGCTCAACGAAGAGTTGCAGGACGGCCAGTCCTTGGAAATCAAGCTTCAGGCTCTCCGCAGCCTCAATGACAAGCTTCGTTCCCCCACCAACATTCAACAAGCCATTGATGCCGGTGCGTGCGCGCATTCAAATGTGTTGCCGGGTTTGACCGTCGAGTCGGCCCCACGTCGCTTCCTTTCTCACATGCTTCTTGTTCTTTGATTCTTTCTCGACGCGGTGCCCGTGGCTTAGGCATTGTCAAGAGTACACAGCATCTACTCAAGGACCAGGATGTGTTGGTCCGACAGCTCACCGTGCGTTTGGTGGGCCATTTCACTCAACACTCGATCGGGCGGACTGCGCTGCTGCAACAGGGCATCCTACCCACGCTGTGTGAGCTATACCACGATACAGACGTCCTCGTGCGCCAACGTGCCCATAGTGCCGTCCACATGCTGACCACTACGGCACAGGGCACGGCAGCTCTTTTGGACCTGGCTCAGGTGGCCGTCCTGGTCTATAAGCTGGAAGTGGAGCGCGAACATGACATTATCCTAGTGCCGCTCTTGGATACTCTGACGGCCATTATGAAATTTGATACATCGGCTGTCCTGACCAGCCGTGGCATCGACCAGTTTCTTGCTCTCTTTACCAATGCCAACCCCCAGGTGGTGGCCAGCGCCGCCCGTGCTTTAGCTGAACTCTGCGTCAGTGCTGAAGGCAAACAACAGGCCGTGGAAACCCAGGCCGTGGACAAGCTCGTCCCTTTGCTGCAGCACACCAGCTCCCTGGTCATCACGGCAGCATGCAACGCTCTGGCCAGGTCAGCTTGATACCACGGCTAAACTGGTCAATCGTCCTTGAAGCTGCCGTTGTGTCGACGTTGGATGTCGCTTTTGAGTTGTCGCGCGTGGTGCCTTGCTCGTCCTTGGGGTGAAGTTCACCATGGCGAGACTCGCTCTGTATTTCTTTTTTTTTTCACGACCCCATGCATTGTGTTTTGAAATAGCATTTGCATCACCACGCCGGGCAAAGAGGCTTTTGCACAATCAGACGCTGGCCTCGCCGCGCTTGTTCGCCTGCTCAGCATGCCCAACGAGGACGTGCAGCTTGCTGCCATCAAGGCCATTCATGTCACCTGTGAAGCCCCCACTTGCCGTGCTTACTATCGAGTCAACGCTTTACAGCAGGTATGATGATGGTGGAGGAGATGCTTCTTTTTGTTCTTCTTTCAACCTCGCTCCCTGCGTCTCCCCACTTTCTTTTCTTTTCTCTTTTTATTTTTTATTTTGATCCGACCATGTTTGCTCACGCGTCCGGGCTTTGGTTCTGGCTTGCTGGCGTAGCTGGGTACCCTCACCACCTTTGTAGGCACGCAGTTGGACCCCAAGGCCGTGTCGCGCGCCGCCGAGCGAGCGCTCAACACCATCAATTGGGAGCCTTAGGTCTTGTTTCTTCCCTCTTTTCTCTCCCGCTTGTTGTTGGCGCTGGCTTGCATTGATCAATGGAATGGCTCGCGAGCCCCTGCCTTTTGTGTCTGATGCCAACCCCCATATGACACACCAACCCTTGTCCTCTCACGCATCCTCGAAACAAGCGAGTTTCAAGGAAAGAAGCAACCTCGGCGTCAAGGGAGAGCAAGGAAGACCGTGAGCGACAGCCAACCAGACCAAGAGACCGCCACAGACCGAGAATCACGGCAGACCATCAAAGCCATGCAAACACGAGCACAACCAGCACACAGCCATCACCCACCCCATCACAGTCAAGTCAGCCAGCTTACACACCTCTCACTACATGTAGTAACTGCCCTTTCCTTTCCCGTAACCTCTCTCTATCAAACTTTTCTCTCTCTTGCAAACTCTCGTGTACTCTTACACACACACACACACACACACACACACACACACATAAAGTCACAACAACAACCGGATCCAAATAATCTGACAAAACACGCGTGCTCGTTTTTTTTTTTTTTCAGTACACACACACACACACACACACACACACACACACACACACACACACACACACACAGAGCAGTTGCGACACGAGACGTGCCACGAGACGACGGCGACGGTGACGGAGACGGGGAGCGGCGAGAGAGGCGGACGACGCGAGCGCGTCGAGTCGGAGTGATTTGGTGGCGTGTGGGCTTGGAGGGTTTTTGTTTTTTTTGGGGTGGGGCTTGGGTCGTTTTCGAGCTCGTGGTCATTGTCGCCATGAGTAAGCAGTTGAACAAGCAGGTGAGCTGGCAGGATGGCGCTGTCGTTCGTGTTTGCCACCGCCTCACGTGGGGACGACCTGCGCATGCCAGGCCCCGCTCCCCTTGCTTCCCCTTGTTGCCGCCGGGGGTGTTTTTCCCCCGCATCCCGTGGCATTGTGCCTGCGTGCCTTGACATGGTTGATTCGCTTCGCATCGTGCTGTATATACATATAGGGCCCAGCCACGCTGGCCCAGCTCCAAAACCTGATCAAGCGGGATAAGGAAGCCTATGCCGAAGAGTTTTTTCAGCAGTACCGCCGCTATGAGTAAGCCGCCCACTCTTTAAGCTCGCAATGCGCCTCTCCTTCTCCATTGCTGTGTCGCACCCTCATATCGTTGATCTGCCTGCCCACGCGCCTGGCCACTCTGCCATCTAGGGCCATGAGCCAGGTGTTCCGGCTCAAGCCGGATAGCGCACATGAAGACTTTGGCGAACTCGTCTCTTTCCTCAGCGCCGTGGCCCATTGCTTTCCCGATACCCTCAAGGTAGAGCTCGGCGCCTTGCATTGCATCTCCCACCTCCCCTTGCAAAAATATGAAAAGGCGATGTCAGGATGCTCAAGCATCTCGCTTCTTGTTCCCATCATCCAATCTGACTTGCGATAGAATCTGCCTCAAGAGCTGGCCGAGCTCCTGGAAAAGCACGCCGAGGTCCTGGACCCCGAGCTTCGAATGGTGCGTTTGCGCTTTGTCATCGTGATGTCTTGTCCATTTGGAGAATCTAATCTTTGGTGCCTCCTTCCTTTCATGGCCTAGACGCTGTGCCGAGCCCTGATCCTGCTCCGTAACAAGGATATGATCAAATCATCAGCCCTGCTCCAACTCTTCTTCACTCTCTTCCGGTCCGAACCTTGTCCCAACAATTTCTTAGGGCCGTCAGGGCTTCACGTCTTGCTTTTTTTTTTTTCTGACCCCGGATTGTCGGCGCCCATTTTACCATAGCTGCCCCGACAAGCAGCTCCGCTCGACCTTGTACAACCACATTGTAAACGATATCCGTCGTCTCAATGCCAAACACCAAAATCACGCCGTGAACAAAGCCTTGCAAAACTACATGTTCACCATGATCAATGATCCCTGCCTTGTGGCCGCCCGCAAGTGTCTGGACGCCATGATCGAGGTACCCATGTCACCCCTTGCCCGCTCGCCATCTCTATCTCCTGCAACCACCTATGCTCACTCGGATTCATCTCTCCGACGCCCACCTCTGCCTCGCGGGGCAGCTCTACAACCGCAATATCTGGAAGGACGATAAGTGCGTCAACGTCATTGCCCAGGCCTGCCTGCACGAACAAAGCAAGATTGCCACAACGGCCGTCAACTTCTTTCTCCAGGACAAGATCGTGCAGCAGATTGACGGCGACGACGAGGACGCCATGAGCACATACAAGGCCGCCATGGCTGCCAACGAGCACAACCGCAAAACCGCCAAGCGGAAAAAACAGGCCAGCAAGGTGCGACAGCGCTCCCTCCACTGCTCCCAACTCTATTCTCACCACCACCGCCCCATTGGTTCCATTTGCCCTGTTGTTCCCTCACGCATGCATGCACGCAATTCTCCCCTGTCTCTCGATAGGCCCTCAAGCAAGCCCAGCGCCAGGAGCGTAAACGCAACAACGTGCCTGTTTTCCATTTCCAAGCCCTTCATCAGATTCACAACCCCCAAAGTCAGTTCTCCCATCGTATTGAGCTAAACCTTTTATCACCATCCCTACAGCGACTCATGGCATCAGTCTGCGGATCTTTCGATCAGGTTTTGCCGAGCGTTTGCTGGCAAAGTTGCGACAGTCCAAGAGTGACAAATTTGACGTGCGCCTCATGTACATGAACCTCATCAGCCGACTTGTCGGTGTTCATGAAGTACGACAGCTCAGGCTCGCGCTTCCCTCGGTCCCGCTGCTCAGCTTACTTCACAGGCCTCCTCACGCGCGTTTGCATTCCGCCTGATCTGACTCTGCCTGCAGCTGGTGCTGCTGAACTTTTACCCCTTCCTTCAACGCTACCTGCAACCCTACCAGCAAGACGTGACAAAGGTACTCACGTACCTGGCCCAGGCCTCGCACGAGTACGTCCCAGACGATGCCCTGGAGAGCATTCTTAAGACCATTGCCGACAACTTTGTCACCGAGCGCTCCTCGCCTGAATCCATTGCCGTGGGGTCAGTGATCGCTTTGCTTTTGTTTGGCTCTGCAATCAACATCCACAGCCTGCGTGACTTTTTCTCACCCGTACAAATATCCCTGCGAATGCCCTTGCTGGGCCACTTAAACAGACTCAACTCCATTGCGGCAATTTGTGCCCGCTGCCCGCTGGCCATGACCCAACCGCTCCTCGAGGATCTCATCCAGTACAAGTCAAGCAAACACAAAATGTGCGCGGACCCGTCCCTTGCTTTTGCAGCTGGTCGAAATTGCATCACGGCTGCTGACGTTGCGTGTTGGCTGCACCTTGCTTCTTTTGCACAGTGTTACTGCCGCTGCGCGGTCGCTTATCCAATTGTTTCGTGAGAAGAACCCCGAGTTACTTCCACGCAAGGAGCGAGTACGTCTCACTCCTTCAAGAACGTGCATTTGCTCAGCACCTTTTTCACTCACGACCACTCTGGTGTGACCAATGACAGGGTCGCCCAGATGGCCAGGAACATGAGGTGTTGGGCTATGGCGAATCCAAACCACTGGACATGGTGCCGGGTACCGAGCTGCTTTCTCTTTACGAAGAGGCCAAGGCCTCTGGTGAAATCATCGAGGAGGAGGGCGACGATGGCTGGGAGACTGCCTCGGACGACAGCGATGACGAGTGGGTTCTTCACTGAGCTTTTAGGCGTGGGGCGGGCACCGCACTCTCCTCACACTTGTCACTACGATCGATAGAGCGGATTGGGTTACGGTGGAGCACAGCGATGACGAAGATTCGGGCAAGGCATCCAAGCGCGCCAAGAGCAAAGATGACGCTGCCGTATACAACGAGCAGCGTGATGACCGTACGTTGTCATGCTTGATCAAGTGCCACGCGGCTCTGTTTTTTTTTTTTTTTTTAAATAAAACCTTGGGAGTATTTTGTGCGCCAACATTTCCGAGGCCTCCCTCGCTCATGACCTTACAATTTTTACCACAGTGGTGCAAGACACCGTGGACAAGGCAACGCGTCTGCAGCGCGCCAAGGAGCTCTCCATGAACAAGGTCGGTCCGAGCCGTCAACTCAGCGATGCCTGCGCTCCTGGCTTGTCGCGCCTGCAAAGGCGCTGAACTGACGCGTGCAATGCTCGCTGTCCAGATCTTGACGCAAGAAGATTTTGAGCGCATCAAAAAGCTACAGGCGCAGCAGATGCTCCGACCCGCCTTTGGCGCCAAGACGACGGCCAAGGAGGAGCGCGATGTGCTGAGGGAAGAAGACATTTTGCCCGACGTTCGCAAGCGGCGCCAGGTATGGACCGTTTCCGAGCAATTACCTCACCGCCGGAGGCGCTGGTCTCTCGATCGTTTTGATCACTCTGTGCATCGTCTTGTTTACGTAGAGCAAAGAAGAGCGTCTGGCTCAGATCGAAGCTGGTCGAGAGGACCGTGGAAAGTTTGGCTACCGCAAGAGCAAGACCAACGAGTATGCGAGCACCACCAACAAGGACAAGGCAAAGCGCAAGAACCCCATGATGCTCAAGCACGCGCGCAAGGCTGTGGAGAAGCGAGGTCGCGACCTGAGGACCAAGCAAATCGATGCCCGCAAGTCCAAGCAAAAAGACCAGCGCAATCGCAAGTAGACCATCTGTCGTGGTGCCCATTGATCAATTCATGTTGGTTAGAAGCCGACCACAATCCTTGTTCGTCACCTTTGATTACTTTAACGTTCAATTACGAGGCACACTTTTCCGCCTTGGCTCCCTTCAACGGTGGAGCAAGACGCACGGGTCAATGACATCGTGTATAACCCCGTTCGGGAGGCGCATGCCGATGGCGCCACACGCCGCATCCCGGAGAGTTGCACCAAAAGAACCACGCATTTCTCCAGCCCTTTTGTATCTCCTGTCGCCGGCAGCAAGATATTAACGTGAGATGCACCGCGGCACAGCAAGAGTGGGGAGGTGGATCAGACGCAAAACAGGGAAGCATGATGATCAAACGGACGTCGCAGGTGACGGTGCGCTCGTGATGGGCCGCCCGATTAGAGATTTGCTTGGTGGTAAACCCAAAGGACACCATCAAGCAGGTCCCGAGACCGACACAACTGAAAGCCATGGACATGCCAAAGCTGTAAAAGAGAAGCACGAGGCTGCCATACCTAACGTAAATCGTGCAGAAACATGGAGAGAGAAATTGAGGCAGGATGAGTGCACAGGGAGGGGCTGAGTGGGTCAAGTCGAGTAGGCCGGGCGTATCGGCGTTTGAGAAACAAGTTTATTGGAGCGGCGGCGGCGGACAATACCAGTAGCCAGTGTGCCAAGCTCCTCGGCCACCCTTGCGCTCAACAAGGTCAATCATGCGCAGGATGGCCATGGTAAATATGCAAACGGCCGCCGTTCCCGTAGCCAAAAGTAGGACAACAAACACGCGATGATTGCGCTGCGACACGAGACATGGCAAGTGATCGATGGATGAACTTGGCTTGCGGTGGATTGGTTGGCAGAGGAAGCAAGGGTCGGTGACATTGGAGTGCAAACCTTGCCAATGCAGTTTTCAACGACACTGCCGGTGCAACAAAAGTTGGGGTAAGTTTGGGTGTCAGCGCGTGTAGGGGATTGTCAAAAGAAGTGTTGTTCAAACATGGTCAGAACGATGAAGCTTACTTGCAGTGGTGGTCATAGTGTTCGATGCAAAAGCCGCAGTGAGAACAATGTGAGGCATGGCTGGGCCGCCAAAGCTGGCATGTGATACACCACTTGTAGGTCTGACCCTGCCATTCAAAAAGCCGCCGCCGGGGGGGGGGGGGGAGCACAGTAAGTTTGGGTTGCAGGCTGAGTCAGGCACTGCGCGAGCAACGCCCATTGGAAAAGAGATGGCACAAGAAACGGGATAGAAAAACAAGTTGAAGGAAGCCCGCTTGAAGTGACGTACAGGCCTCCGTGACGGCGGGGGCGGAGGGGAATGGGAAATTGGAGAGGGGGTCGATTGGGAGACAGCCGGATCAACGTCCCTGGGCTCTGTATTTTGCATGTCGATGGCAACGGCACCATAGTTGGGCTGTTCAGCATGCTGCTGTAGGTGGTGGGATGAGGCACGGGGCACCCCACGGTCGTCGGGGGCGCGGGCCACCGGCTCGGCACTGGGTGCCAGCTGCTCGGGCGCCGGGGGCGGCATCGGGGCGGCAGCCGGAGAACCGGGGAGAATGACGCCAGGATCCATCCAATTGCAGAGGAAGAGGGTCAAAACGATGGTGCCTAGGGCAGCCACGAGCACATACTCCAGGGTGGTGTCCAAGTGATAACCCATCATCGGAATCGCCACCAAGTTGAGCGCGGCATAGAAGGACGTCCCGAGCGGAGGGACACAAACCCCAGTCCGTGCCCGCCCCATGATGACGCCACCTCCACATGCAAAAACCCAGCGTTGCCCCTCCCTCGCCACCCTTTGCCTGCCCCGATCCCTCCCAACAACAACAACGAGACGCTCAGCAGCAGCAAGATGAAGATGAATCCGTCCCAGCGACGTTGCCCTCCGTATCTGCGTGTGTGTGTGAGAGAGAGAGAGAGAGAGTGATGCCAAGTGCGAATGAGCAACATTTATCTGACAATTTCTCGCCGTCATTTATCTGACAATCACACACACACACACACACACACACACACACACACACACAGACAAAACCTCTCTCTCTTTCTCTCTCTACACACACACATACACATCCACACATCCACGCAAACACACGTGCAGTTTCGCTGATGTTTTACCACACACACACGGCAGAGCATCGAGATGGCGACGCGATTGATTGAGGAGTATCGGGCTCAAGGTCGTCGGCCGCCGAATCTGTTGGTATGTGGTGATGGGAAATGCATTTCCTCGTCCTCCTCCGGCTCCTCTTGGTCCTTCCGGTCCTCGTCCTGCTGTTTGTTGTTTGGTTTTTTGGTCAGAGTTGCATCGGCCTGGGCCTCACCTGCCATGGGTGGATGTGTGTAGGTGTGTGGAACGCCGGGTACGGGTAAGACGTCGCTCTGTGAGGAGCTGGCGCAACGCACAGGATGGACTCACATTGACATCTCGGCCCTTGCCCTGCGCCGGTACGGCTTGCTGCGTGTGGATGTATGCGCGCGCGTGGCTCGCCTGCTCGAACATCTTTTACCATCGTGCCACCTCCTCATCGCACCTTGTGTGCCACAGTCAGCTCCACGAGGGCTACGATGACTCGCGCCAAACGCACATTCTTGACGAAGACGCTGTAAGTCTCAACCCCATTTTCTTTTCCCCCTTTGTTGTCTTGCTTGCCCACCCAAACCCTGCTCTAATGTGCAGCACCTTCGCTCAACTTATTTTGTCTTCCTCCAAGGTGCTAGACGAGCTGGATGATGCCAATCAAGTCAACATAATGCAGGGTGGCTTTATCGTGGATTACCATGGTTGCGACTTTTTCCCCGAACGATTCTTCGACCTCGTCCTCATTCTGCGAGCCGAGAACAACATCCTCTGGGAGCGCCTGGAAGCTCGGTACACCATCGCGCCATCATTCCAGCCTCCTTTGGTCATCCCTCTCAATGCCCTCACCTTCTCCCGCTTTTTCTCAGCGGCTACCCACAGACCAAGGTGCAGGAAAACGTGGAGGCAGAAATCATGCAGGTGGTCCTTGAAGAGGCGCGTGAATCCTACAAGCACGAGATTATTCAGGTGTGTCCCCCTCGTCTTACCCATCTTCATCACTCACCACGAAAAAGCGGGCACCTTTTTTCTGGGCACGCTCATATTTCCACCCTCATCCGTTAGGAGCTACCCAGCAACACCTTGGACGATCACGAGGCTAACCTTGAGCGCATTTCACAATGGCTCCTTGCACACATGGAACAAGCCCCCAGGGTCTAGAATCAATTCGCCTCGACTTTAAACAGGTTGATCAACAAGGCTTTGAGTTCTCTGAGTGCCCTAGTTCTATCACGCTAATGTTCGGATCTCCATCCCTTCCCTGCTGTCTCGTCAAATGCGGCGAGAGAAACACATGCCTACAAACAGTGGTAAGGACCACGAGAGCGCCGCGCGCTTCTCATGGATGCAATTGAGATTTTCAAGCTGTAGTATCAGAAAGTGGGTCAAACGAACGCTGACAGCAACAAACCCCGTCCAAAGTTTCCGACATGAAAATCAACACTTCAAGACTCGGCGATGAAAAAAAAATCACAGCAACCCGGAGGAAACAACAAGACGAGGACAGGTCAGGTACATCCATGAACACAGCGTTCCATGAAGGCGTGTAAGCAAGCACAACAAATGTCTTTTCACATGTCAACCAAATACAGAAAAGTAGACGCCAAAACCTAAAAAACGCAAAACCTGTTACTGCACAAACGCCGACCCACCATCCACCCACATCAGTTCATGCCTTGCAACCTGAGTGAGTCGAGGCGTGTCCGTGCTGAGGATGCTTCATCAGCCATTGGCAGGCAAGCAAATCAGAGAGGCAAGCCGCAATGAAGCGTTTGACAATAAAACGATCTTGGAAGAGCAAAAAGGATAAAGGGCTCAAACTAGCAAAAAGACCACTTAACCCGGAAAGCAAACAAAAAAAAAGGGGGGGGGGGGGGGAAGACACATGCACTGTCTTAGCACTCCTCTTCATCCTCATCTTCAGCGCTTCCGCCGGTGGCGCCGGTGCTAAACGTGTTCATGGTGGCCCCGGAAGAGGCCCCAAAACGTTGCCGAACGACTGCCAGGAGCTTGTCCCTTGTATGCGTGCCCTTTTCCAAGTCGGCTCGAATGCCGGCGTGCTCGAGCGCCACCGTCTGGAGATCCTCATTGCTCATGGACATGAGGTTGGGCGGAGCCGGGGGCAAGGGCTCGTCACGGGTGATGGTCAGATCCAGAGCGCGCGAGCGTCGCAACAGATCAAAAACCAAATACGTTGCGTGCTGGTGATTCAGCACCCATTGATCATTGACTTTGACCAATCGATCTCCCTCGCGCAGGTCAGTGCGTTGAAGCGGACCTTGGGGATCAATGTCCGTGAGCGTCACCCCTTCCAAAAACATATAGCCTTGGCTAAGGTCCTTGGGCAAAGGGCTTAGCTTGAAGCCAAATGAAGAGCCCCGCTCTTTGGTCACATAGTAGTTGCGCATGCGGCGCTGCTCACAATAGTGCTCAGCCTCGCGTTGCTGTTCATCCTCCAGCTGCTGCTGATTCTGGAAAAAGAGGGAGCGCAAATCCGCGTGGCCATCCCCGGGGTCAAGAGGTCGCTTATATTCACTGTTGCTGTAGACTTCGTGCACTGTGGGAAGCGCGTCGCTAAAGGTCACGTGACGGTTTCCTGATGCTCGGGCGCCCCGTGCTGCCGAGCTAAAGGACGTCGTCGAAGCCGAGCTCCCATTCTGCAGCGCTACACCGTCCGGTTCCTGGGAGACATTCGTGCCATTGGGCAAGGCATCGTGTGTGGGGTTGGTGGCCGTGTCGTCACTGGGTACGGGCGAGGCCTGCATGGCAGCCACGGTCGGATCGACGAAACGCGATGAAATCTCCTCGATGGTGTACTCGCGGGTCCAGCCATCACGGGGATCAACCAAGACGCGCAGACCATAATGCTCAAAGGCGGCCTCTTGGAGCTGTTCGTTGCTCCAGGCCCCAAAGTCGGGCAACGGAGGAAGTGGCTCATTGCGTGTAATGGTAATATCAAGAGCGGGATGCGTATTGATAATATCCATCAAATACTTGGCATGGGGCAGGCTCACTACCCACTGGCCATTGATCTTGACGATGCGGTCGCCCTCGCGGCAGTTGCCGTCGGCAGCCAGTGCGCTTGGTTGGGCAATGCTTTTGATGCGCACGGGCTCGGCCAGGAGCAGGCCCGGCACGGTGGACTTGCCTGCGCTCTCCATTTCAAAACCAAACGTCTCAAAGGGGGCCTTCATGACGTAAAAGCCACGCAGCCGTGAATCAGAAACACTGGCCTCGACCTCGGCCCGCTGCTCTTCTTCCATGGCTTGCTGGTTGTGGCTGACAAGCTGGCGCAAATCGAGAAACTCCTTGTACTCAAGCTGACGCTTATACTCGTCGTGCGAGTAGGTTTCAAAGCTCTCGTTCTTGCTGAGGTTGATGGAGACACGGCGTTTGGGACGATTGGTGGCTGTCGTATTTGTAGTGGCGGGCGGAGCGGATGCAGGCGGAGCAACGGTGGGCGGGGCAGACGAGGGAGGGGCAGCGGCGAGAGGAGGGGTATCGTCTTGTGGCGGCTCCACGGGGGGTTCCGCGGGCGGGGCAGGAATGTGCACAATGGGTGGTGACGTGCTGGTGGTGCTGCCAGTGTCAGCGGCGACGGACGTCACGGCAGTGGAGGTGGAGGAAAGAAAGACGTCTCCTTCGGACGTGTCGTCAGCGTAGTCAGGGGGCGGAGGCCGCGGTGCAGATGCTTGCTGCGCTGGTTGGGCCTTGGGCTGCGGTGATACTGGTTGCTCGTGCACGGGCGGTTGGCTCGGAGCACTACTTGTCGGGGCGGCGGCAGTTGAGCTGGTCTGCAAGCTGTCTAATTTGGCCAAGGTGGCTAGCTCGTCATGAGAGAGGGCTTCCATTTCGTGGAAGGACTGACGTCGGGCTGATTCTCGCTTGGCCGCAGCGCTGTGTCCCCCACTCTTCTCGATGAAGACCGGGTCACGAGTCAAGGCTAAAAAGTGAAGCGGGGCAACAAAAGAGCCACCAGCCACGTAGCGCGCCCAGTCCAGGACCTGGGTGGAGGCTAAACCGAGCTGGCCCGGTGGAAATGGGGGTTCACCGACAGTACGATGAAGCTGTGACAGCTCAGCAGAGGTGAACCATTTGGCTTTGGTGTAACGGCAAGCCGGAGGCAGCTTGGTCTCGGGGCCAAGGTCATCTGATGGAGCAGGGTTTCGCAATGCATGGCAAATGAGGATGCAAGAGGCAAATGAGGATGCAAGAGGCAAATGAGGATGCAAGAGGCAAATGTCGGGAGGGGTGGCATCGAGGGTGGCGGCGGACCAGGGGTGCTCACCAGCAATTTCGACGAGGCAGACGACTCGCATGGGTGGGTCGTTGGGGGTGGAGGCGGTTTCGATGCGCAGAATGCCGGCGATGTGAACGGCTTGGTTGAGTGCGAATTTGCAGTAGCGATGCACGGACATGCCGAAATCTTCGGCGGGACGGAGCGGGGTCTCGAAAAACTGCCAGCCATTGTGCGCGGGCTCATCCTGCGCGAGGAGGAAGCGATCCCGGGTCCCGGTCTTGACGGGCACGATCATGACCGAGTTGAGGCGGGCAGGCATATCTGAGATGGAAGCCAGCGGAGTGCGCTGTGATGGGGTAGAAGCGCGGGAGCGGATGGAGGAGGACGTCGAGGATCCATGAAACCGGGGGCCCAAGTGTTGTGGGGAAAGGGGACGCTATGATGTGTGCGTGAGTGTGTGCGCGAGTGTGCGCAAGCAGAGAAGAGGGTGCGGGAAAGCGGGGCGTGCTGATGTGAGATCGAGTGTGCGGCAAGTGTGCTTCACAGCATGGCAAGCAAGAAACACTGGCAGTTGAACGGACTGAGCGAGGTCAGACCTGAGTCATGCTGGGTGTGGGGGAGAGAGGGATGGGGGTGGGATTCTTCAGCCTGTCCATCATCCATTGACGCTGACGCTCGTCGGCTTCTTGGACCAAAACTTTGAGGGGTTTGGTGCGGGGCTGCTCACGAATTTTGAGAACCGCCTGTGGCCACAGTGACAAGTAAAAGGGTGAGTTGGTTCCACTGTGGGTGGGCCGGCAAGTCAAGAAGGAAGAGAAAAAAGGGGGTGTTGTCAAGAGCATGATAAAGGGTGCGGCGGCGGGTTGGGTGGCCGATGGCACTGACCTCTTGGTGGGTGAGGTGGTTCAAAGGAATATCGTTGACTTTACGAACGATTTGGCCGACTTTGAGGCCGGCGAGGGCGGCGGGACCGCCATCATCAATGACCGTGACAAAGTGAATGGTGCCTTGAACTGCACGGTGTATGCGTTGACTGGATATCTGAAATCCAAGCTGCCCAGCTTTGTTGCGCTGAATAAAGATGCGCTTCATGGGTGGCCGGGCGAGCTGAGGCGGCGAGGCAGCGTGTGCGTGCGATGGTGTCCTAAGATGGTAGGGAGGTAGGGAGAAAGAGGAGGGGAAGAGAGAGGAGATCAGAATGTGATGATGGGAGGAGGATCAGGTGCACCAGTTTGCGTAAGACTGACTGTTGATCAAGCGAGTACGCGGCGCTGCCCAGCTTGCCCTTTGGGCTACCGGCTACGGAAAAAAAAAAACGTGGCAAGCGATGTTGAATGCGGCGACGGCGCTACAAGAAAGAAGAAAAAGCAAGGGCGGCTGGCAGCTGAAGACGCTACCTTGTGGGACATTTTCTGGCAGAACCGAGAGATCCCGAGACTCTTTGTTCCCCATGGTGGGCGGGTTGGAGAGCCAGCAAGGCGCGCGCGAGAGGCAGCAAGGCGGGCGGGCACGGGCTCGAGGTGAGCGCGAGCGTCACCGGTGGTGGGGGTGGATCAACCAGCCCACGGCCGTCACCCAATGACAAGAACACCAGGAAGGAAGCTGCCCAACGAGCTTCCAACTCCCCTACAATCGATCACAAACGAGCGCGCGCAGTCCAAACCGATGAGAAGGACGAGGCAACGACGACAGAGACCCTTGAAGAAGCGTGAGGAGGTAGAGGCGGAGGTAGAGGCGGAGGTAGAGGCGGAGGTAGAGGCGGAGGAAGGGGGCGGAAGCAGTCCTTTTTGATCCAATGATGGCGCAAACGTTGGCCCACACAAGCTCACACACACACACATTCATGTATCCATCTGGGTCCTCATACACACACATGCACGCGCGCACGCACGCATGCCTGCAACGGCTCAGGTCTCAGGTGTGTTCACGCGCACTGACCTCCGCCGCCACCGTTTGTGCTCCAGTCGTTGATGCCCTCGTCACAAGACGCGATGAGACTGAGACTGAGAGAGAGAGAGCTTTAGAGAGAGAGCTTTAGAGAGAGAGAGAGAGAGAGAGAGAGAGAGAGAGAGAGAGAGAGAGAGAGAGAGAGAGAGAGAGAGAGAGAGAGAGAGAGAGAGAGAGAGAGAGAGAGAGAGAGATAGACAGAGAGATAGACAGACAGAGAGACAGAGAGAGAGAGAGAGGGAGACAGAAAGAGAGAGAGAGAGAGCCAGAGAAGAGACAGAAAGAGAGATGAGAGACACAAGAGAGTGACGCGCTTCCACTTTTTTATCTGACAATACCTTCGATTTATTCTGACAATCAGTGCTGCTTTATGAATTTGCGGGAGAGCATAAACGACTCCACAACGATTCACATCTTCACAAGACCATGCAAACGAGCCATCAAAGACGAAATTCGAAATTCGTCAGATTACCAAGTGTCAGTCCCGCCTTGGCTTCAAACAAGAAAGAAAAAAGCTTTTTTCAAGTGTGAGACGGCCAACACCTTCGCAACGTATTTTCAGTGCTGAGGTGTGTGAATGAGAATGCGCTTCCGGCTCACACACACACACACACACACAAACAAGAGAGAGAAAAGGGCAGCGCGTCTTCCCCCTCACTCACTCACACACGGACGCATATGAATGCATGGGGGACCCTCCCTTCCGGGTGCCTGTGATCGACAGTGGCAATCGGGGGGGTACGGGGAGTTGGGCTTGGTTGCCGTCGGAAAAGAGAGACCCGGGGAGGCTGGGGGGGCGGAGGGGCCACTTGTGCAGCCCGTCAGTGTGTGATGATGCCACGGGCAGACCAATGGCAGTGCACACACACGCGCACACACACGGACGCACACACACTGCTAGCCATCTGCCTGGTCAGGTCACTGAGCGTTCAATGCAGTGCACTGCCTCGTCAGTCACGACCCCTGCGATCTCCCGGGATTGATGCGACTGACCGTCCCCTATGAATCCATCCAGTACAAGGCAACTACACAACAACATCTCCATCTCTCTCTCTCGCGCGCGCGCTCTTGCTCTCTCGCTTCTTCCGCCCCACCCCCCCTCCCCCCCCCCGTCCTTTTTTTCTTACTGTTGGCTCGTATTGATCATGTGCATGTCTGTGGTGGATCAACCCCGGTAGACTTTCTTCTGAGAGCTGCAGGCTCTCTCATTCCACGCGCTTCCCTTGACTCGAGGCCGACCGCAAAGTCATTGCTCGAGTCCAGACCGGGCGCCGAGTCCAGACGGGCCATTGGGACCCCTTTTCCCAAACACCAGCATCATGTTCATCTACCTCAGCAAGAAGATCAAAATCGCCATTCCCAATCCAATCCCGCTCAAATCCATTGCTTGGAATCAAGAGCAGGGCTGGATTGCCTGCGGTGGTGAAGAAGGTCCGCGCCCAGCCCCGCCTCACCCCCGCGAGCCCCACCAATGCGCCGCCTTGCGTCCCTCTTTTAAATTTTGATTTTCGACTTTTTTTTTTGTTTTTTTTGTTTTTTTTTGCTCTCTATCTCCCTCTCTCTCTCTCTCTCTCTCTCTCTCTCTCTCTCTCTCTCTCTTTCTCTCTCTCTCTTGGCAGGCTTGTTGAAGGTCATCAAGCTCGAAACGGCCAGCGACAAGAACAGCAGCAATCTCACCTTGAATCAAACCCTCTCTGGTCACAATGGCCGTGTCGAGGTTGGCCCTGCCCCTCTTCCTAGCCCCGCTCGCTCTGCCAAGAACCCTCACTCAACTGCGATCCTTGCAGGTGGTGACTTGGAACGAAAACTATCGGAAACTCACCACGGCAGATCAATATGGTCTCATTGTCGTTTGGATGCTCTTCAAGGTCCTTACCCGCTGCGCGCACCCCCTGGCCGTTTTTTCTGGCTCAGCAACGCCCTGCTCCTCTTGGCTGATTGAGACTGTTGCTCTTGCCTTGGTCCATTTCTTCCGTCGTCTTGTTTAGGGCCAATGGCACGAGGAAATGATCAACAACCGCAATAAGAGCTTTGTGACTGACATGAAGTGGAACTCGGATGGCCAGCGCATCTGCATTGCCTACGATGACGGCGATGTCATTGTCGGCCAGGTCGACGGTCAGCGCGTTTGGGGCAAGGGCCTCGGCTTTCACATTCGCCAAGTCGAATGGTCACCAAACGGCAAAAACATCCTGTTCGGCAGCAGTACCGGTGATGTCTTTGTCTACAACGAGCAGGGTGATCAGATTAGCAAACTCAACATGATCTGCCTTGAAGGTGGGTCAGAGCCGCTTCACTTGACCTTGACCTACCATGGACCCGAATTGTTCCCCTCCTCCCTCTTTGCTCACCCCAACGCGCAACAACGTAACCACTTAGGCTTAACCGAGGCCAAGCTCAAAGCCATGACCTGGTACAACGGCACTTTTGGCTACATGCAGCGTAACGCCCCTGTTCTCGCCATTTGCTACGAAAATGGCCGGATGCAGCTTATGCGCAACATCACCGACAGCAAGCCCATCCTTGTTGACGCCATGATGCGCATCTGCGCCGCCAAGTACGCCCGTGCTGCCCCGACAAATGCCACCTCAGTTTTGCCCACCCCTCATGCCTTGGCGGTACATTACATCCCAGGTGGAACCACAACGGTACCGTTCTGGCCGTGGCGGGCATTGAGAACACGGCGGGCTCCGAGGAGCAGGTAACATGCGCGCCCGCCACAACAGCTGCCGCCCAACTGAGGCAACATCCCATCATCCCCTCGCTCCTTGACACCATCTCGTCATGATCTCCCTTTCCTCCTCCCTTTCCTCCTCCCTTTCCCCCTTCCTTTCCTCCTTTTCTTACACACACACACACTCACATGTACACTGCCTTCCCCAGACTTGCACCGTGCAGTTTTACTCGCCGACCGGCGAGCACCAGCGCAGCCTCCACGTCCCGGGCTCTGACATTTCTGGCCTTGCATGGGAGCTGGGAGGTCTCAAGCTTTCTCTCACCGTGGTAGGCCCCTCAAAACCATGGCCTCTTCTATGAACCACGTGTTCAACCCCACATCTCCCTCAATCACCGTTGATTGTCACACCCCCACCCCTCTCTTTCGTACAGGACAACTTCATCTTCTTCGCCAACGTTCGCCCCGACTACTTTTGGGGCCACTTTGACAACACAGGTGAGCCCTTGCCGGCGTCATGCACCCAGGGCCCACCCATGAAATCTGGTTCCGGCTGACACTGGCTCATTCTCCGTGCTTTGTGCGCAGTTGTCTATGCCTTCAGCAAGCCGCAGCGCGACGAGCACTGCGTCGTATTCTGGGATGTCAAGCGCAAGCATCACACAGTCAAGTACATCAAGAACCTCGTCAACATTGCAGCGGCCGGCGATCGCTGCATCCTCTGCACCAAGAGCGACGATGATAGCGGCCAACACATTCTCATTATGTGCAATGCCATGGGTACCGCCATTGATTCCAAGTACATTGACATTGAGCCCATTCACACCCACATGTCTGATACCCACATTGTGGCCGCCTCCAATGAATGTGTCTATGTGTGGAACTTTGCCTCCAAGGTCTGCCAACCCAATATTTTTTTTTTTGTTTTTTTTTTGTTTTCTTGCGCCGTTTTCCTGCACAGTTGGCTTCGTCGCTTTGCCACAGGCCGCGTCTGCACCCCGTTTGCTCACGCATCATGCATCCTGCTTGCCTTGGCCATTCTTCGCGCCCGGCTGTCCCTACTTTTGCTCTACAAGTCGAGCGAAAAGTCGCGACGCACAGATGAAAAGATCTTCCACATTGATGACAGCCCCACAGGTGGCAAGGACACCGACCCTACACGCTTTCGCAAGGCGCGCACCACAACTCAGGACCCTGTCTGCGCCGTCTGCGTCTCGGATCGTCTGCTGATGGTCTCGCGCGTCTCTGGCGCTCTTCACCAATATGGCTTGCCCAAGGCTGCGCTCGAGATCAAGCATGCCCTTAATTGCCGCCCCGATCGCATCCGCCTCAACTCTGACTCAACTCGGCTGGCCATCCTTGATATTGATGGTCCGTTGTCTGTGATGCAACCACCATGCATTCATAGCAGGCCCGACTCGACCATGACACAGGGGTGCAACAGCCATGATTCTGACCACCACCACCACCTATCCTTCTCCTCACATGCATGTAGGTGTGCTCACTTTTTTTGACCCTGAAGCCAAGCGCCTCAACCCGGAGACTGGCAACGTCGTGTATGGCCTGCCCGTGGAAGATTTTGAACGCAAAGTATGGACGCAGACCTCCCGTTTGAGGCACGCGTGACACTCTGCCCAGGACACCGCCTGATACATTTGTGTCCTGATAGGACGTTTGGGACTTCCGTTGGGCTGATGACAACCCCTCACTCTTTGCCATGATGGAGCGATCCTACATGTACATCTTCCGTGACCTTGACCCTGAAGAGCCCATTCCCAGCAACGCCTACATTAGCAAGTTTAGCAACCTGCAAGTCGAGTCCGTGGCACTGGATGAGGTCATGTCAGACCCTGAGCACCCGACCAACGTAGGTGACACCATCGACCGTTCTAACCCTGCAATTTTGCGGCCAGCAGCTTCCAATGCTCAATCATGAACAATTGGGGTTTTTGCTTGACTACCGAGCAGACGCACTACTTTGAGCGTGAAATCAAGTCTTTGCGCGATACGCGCACCCTTCTCAAGACTGTTACCATTGAGGATGCCTACAACTACATTGAGCAAAACCCCCATCCTCGCCTCTGGCGTCTCCTCGCCGAATCGGTGCGTGTCTGCTCATTTTAGTTGCCCCTTGATTCCGTCCCAATAACAGCTTGTATCGTAAGCTGGGGGACAAGGAATAAAAAAAAATGTGTTCACCTAACGCTTGTCATGGTGCGTCGATGACAGGCTTTGGGACAAATGGATCTTGACATTGCAGACAAGGCTTTTGTTCGCTGCCAGGATTTGCAAGGTGTGACCCGTGCCGCTCTGACCCTGCATTCTCTGTTCGGGCCTTTGCTCATTTGTTGTTTCCCTTCGCCTTGCGTCTTGCAACACTGGCCAGGTATCCACTTTGTCAAGCATCTGGAAGCTTTGGGTGACAAGAAGAAGCAAGAGGCCGAGGTGGCGGCCTACTTTCAGGAGTTTGACAAGGCTCAACAGCTCTTGCTCAACATTGATCGCCGTGACTTGGCCATTTCCATGCGTCGCAAGCTCGGCGACTGGTTCCGCGTCATTCAGCTTGTACGGGCCGGTGGCGGTGCCAGTGACCAAGAGCTCAAACACGCTTGGACGAGCATTGGCCAGTACTACTTTGAGCGCCAGCGATACCAAACGGCCCGCGAGCATTTTGCGCAGGCCGGCTATGTCAAGGGTCTGATTGAGAGCTGCTTCCATCTGGAAGATTGGAAGGGTTTGGAGGACCAGGTTTGTGCACAAGTCGCTTTGGTGATGGATGTCGCTCAACAAGCTGATGAGCGACCACCGCCATTAGCCTGACCCTCATCCCTCTCTTTCTTCTTTGGTAGATTGATGTGTTGCCTGAAGGTGATGACTTGCTGCGTCGGGCAGGCCAGCTCTTGGCCACAGCAGGCTTGAGCGAGCTCTCAGGGAAGGCCTACGTTCGTGCTGGCCTTATCAAAGACGCCATCGATGTTTGTGTCAAGCAAAATCAGTGGGATGCAGCCGTGACCCTGGCCAACGAGCACAACGTCACCGAGGTATGCGATTTGCACCTTTTGTCACCGAGGTGGAGCGAGTGGCTCACATCAAAGACCGTGCCTACTTAGATTGATACGCTTTTGCACAAGTACGCTTCCCATCTTTTGAGCAAAAACAAGATTGTCGAAGCCGTCGAGGTTAGTCCCAGGCGCCGCGATTGCCAAGGCCCCCTCGTCTCGACTTGGTTCAGCTTGTTGCTCATGCAGACTTGCCGATGGGGTGGTTGTGCGTCCATGCAGCTGTATCGCAAAGCAAAATCACATGTGGATTGCGCAAAACTCCTCTTCGACATGGCTGCCACTGCATTGTTGAATCGCAAGAACCTGCGGTAAGTTGGTTCATGACAATCAAGCGGTGTTGTAGTTTTGGCTTCGGGACGACAGCAAGCCTTATCTTACGTTCTGACACAGGGCCAAGAAGCTATTCGTTCTCGGTGCCATGGAGGTTGAGCAGCACAAGGACCGGCGCAGTGGGGACCAGACCCTAGAGGGTCTGCTGGAGGATGATCAGCTGGATGATGAAAAGGCCAAGGTCATCGAGCATGCCTGGCGTGGCGCCGAGGCCTGTCATTTCTTGCTGCTTGGTCAAAAGCAGGTACGAAATGGCTCTCTGCGCGAAATCAGCCAAGCAAGCGCCGAAAGGTGTTGGAAATGATTTGGTGCGTGTCTCACTTTGAACTCTGGTGCTTGGTCCGGCTCGTCCATGGCGTGGTCTTGCGCAGCTGCATGCCTCCAAGCCCTACGATGCGCTGCGTTGCGCTGTGCGCTTGACCGAATACGATGATATCGTGGACCCGCTTTTGGCCTACTCCCTGCTCGCGCTGGCTGCTGCGGCCACACGCAACTACGCCATCTGTTCCAAGGCGTTTGTCAAGCTGGAAAGTTTGCCCAAGCAGGGTCGCATGAAGGCTCAAATTGAATCCTTGGCGACGGAGTTGTTCTCAGCGTAAGTGTTCTATCTGTTTTGCAAGTGGACTGTGTTGGGTGTTGGGCCTTCCTCTTGCCTCACGTCAGTTCGGCCGTGCTCCCTGCAGACACCCTCCCAAGAATGCGCCCGCTGCCACATTGGAATGCCCTTCCTGTTCTCACGAGAATCCCGACTGGTGAGTGTTGACATTGTTATTATCCTTGTCTCTCTTCGCCTCGTTGTCATCATCAGACATGCTCATCGTGTGACCTTGGTTCATTTCAGGGCGACGTCCTGCCAAGCATGTGAAATGAAGTTTTTGGCCTCAGTCGCCAGCGGTCGCCCCATGGTTGATCTCGAGGTTTGTCCCGTGTTTGCACCGCTTTCTCGCTATCTCTCGAGTCCATTGCACTGACACGATCATTTTGTCTCACGCTGTTAAACTTGATGACTTTCTGCTTTCTTTAGTACTGGATTTGCGAGGGCTGCAAGCACCGGGCTGGCATTGAGGAGATTTCAGCCTACCAATTCTGCCCTCTCTGCCACACCGCTGTTGGCCTGGATTAAAAAAAAATAAGCAGATCAAAAGGAACGGGAAGCCGCTTGAATCCTGTGTCCCTAACAGATGGATTTCTCACCATGGCTACAGATGTTTGATGCTCGTTTGTGTTCTGTGTCTGCCGTGTTCACGCGAGGAAGTGACATACGACAGCTGCGTGTACAAAATCTTTCAATTTATGGTACAAAATCATTTTGGTCAAAGGTCAAATAAACACACCATGCGCGTCGGTAGAGCGAGAACAGCACCTGCCGAGCATCCAGTTCAGGGTCAGGAGCGGGGAACGCAAACAATGGAGACCACCTCGTCAGCGGCATCCGCCGTATTGTACAGCTCATGCAAGGCTGTAATGGCGGCCTCTTCTATCTGAATCACCTGGACCGACTTGCCGCGACGACTGGCAGCATGATCTCGCTCCTTCTCAAGGTTTCGCACGATTTCACGAAACGAACCGCCCGCGGCCGCCGTAGGCCGTTCCAATGAGGAGCCGCCAAGCGAGGAACCGCCCCACATGGGGGCTTCAGGGGTCGGTGCTGCTGCGCCACTTTGCAGCTTGGACGTGTACAAGAGCTGCGCTCGCGTGTCGGCCAAGGCCTCGCGCTCCAGATCCAACAGGGTGGGGCGGCTTTTGGAGGGAGATGCACTCTGGCGCTGGGCGGCAGCAGGTGTTGGGCCGGCCGCAATGGCCGCCATGGCGACTGACGCGAGTGGCGCCATGGTAGCTGCAGGCGGCGTAGGTTGTGCAAACAGCCAGGACGCTGCGGGCCCGGCTGGAGGTGGTATCGACGTCACCGAGGATGCCGAAGTGGGTGGCTGAGCCGTGTCAACTTGTTGTTGACGCAAGAGCTCTTTGCGTTGCTTCTGTGACAGCTTCTTTGGGCTACGCTTGTGCCCCGCGCTGCTCTTGTGCTTGGAGTCGCTTGATCCCCCGGCCGGCAATAAGGAAGGAAATGAGGCTTTGGGCCCCCCCTCTGACGGAACTGGCTGGAGGGCTGGTAATGGCGGAAGCGCCTGGGGTAAGGGGACCACCTCCGTGGTCGGGCTCGAGAGCGAGGCCTCCGCCTGAGTGCGCTCTTCTTGTTCCTGCAAGCGACGCAAGCGACGGCGCTCCTTGCTGGTCATGCGTCCTGCTCCATCGGCTCCGGGACTACCCGGGGTAAGAGGTGGCGACTCGATCGTAGTGTCGGCATTTGAGCTGACTGCGTCGGTTGAGAGCGCTGCAAGCAGAGGAGGTGGGGTGGATGCCGTGGACGGGGCGGCAGCAGACGCAGTCTTGGCACGTTCCGAAATGGTGCCTGTGCGCTTTTTAGACTTTTTGGTGCGCCGATTAGCACTGGCACCTGCGTTGACAGCGTTTGGCTGTGCCGGGCCGCTCAAAACCTCTTGCGCTTGCGCACTAATGGGTTTGGTGGGATCAAAGTCAGGATTGCCCATCAGAATCTCTGTGGCCCGCCGCACGCCGACTTGGGAATACCCATAGCGGCTGAGTAGACGCCGCACCGCCAACGGGTCGAACCCCATCTTGAGCATAGATTGAACAAAAAAGTCTTCACCCTCGGCCAAAACGTCATCGCTGGCTGCTGCCGCCGCCTCGAGGTCGACAATTGATGTTCCTCGACTTGAAGCGCGTCGCGGACGCGCGGGTTTAGTCAGCTTATAGGGTTGCTTCAGTTTTGCGGCTAGTTCCGGATTGTTGGCAGGGTCAAACACGAAGCGATCCACGGCAATCTTGCCAAACTCGGCCAGCAACCAAATCGGAGCCCCTGCCGCTGGTAAGCTCAAAGCGCGGGGAGGTAAGCGCCGTTGCAAAACGAGAGACATGGTCTCCAATAGCTCTACTGGGATGCTGGCTAGCACGTGGGTGCAAAGCAAATGCTCGAGATGCCGAATAGCATGGTGAGCGCACGCAGCAATGAGCCCCCTGTGATGAAAGGTACAGGCGTGAACGGCCACTTCGGCAAAGTTAGACAGGTCCAAACGCAAGGCCAGCTCCTGGCCCGCGAGATCAGCCAGCCGAGGCACGCTATAGTAGCTGGCCATGGCTACAGCATTGGTCCAACAAGCACGAAAAAAAAAGAATTTTGCATGAGGATGGAGGCACGAACGATCATCAAACATCCGCAAGCGCACACAGAGCCAGCTGGCACAGAATAATCCCTGGAACGCACCAAAGACTTCAAGGACGTCCTGCAGCTGATAAGAAGCGCCAAACTCTGCGAGCTCGGTATAGAGGTAGGTGACAAAGGTCTCGGTGCACTGCGCAGACCAGCCCGTGTAGTCAACCTCAGCCAAGTCGCTGCCGTTCCATCGGCGCGAAAGAAGGGCCCGCAGGACTGAACTGTGTAGAACCAGCAAGCCGCGTGGTACCAGAAGCTCATCCGCAGATGTTTGTCGGAGCATCACTGCCGTGGCTCGCATGGAGCTGGAACCGGCACCTTCATTCTTTGGACGAGACAAGAGCAGGTCGGTGGGGCTGGAAGCAGGGTTGTTGCGGCTCGCATTAAGAGCGGCGCTCAAGTCCGACCAGCTCAGGAGGTTGGCAACTTCGATCAAGCGTTGTCGCTGCTGCTCTGTCAAAGGTTCGTCGGTGATGGGCAAGTGGCCCAAGTACAACAGCGCGAGACAGATTCGCAAATCAGCTAGCGTACATTCGGGCAGCTCGAAAGCTTCAACGGTGGGATTGTACCGCTGATCCAGCGCAGCAAGCTGTTGAAAGACAAAGGCATGGCCCAGCATGCATCCATCTTGCACAGTGATCACGGCGTTTGGGAGCATATCTTCCGCAAAAGTGAGCCACGGCTCGTGCCCTGTATCTAATGTCTGAAACATGATGTTCAGGTGATGGTTGTGCTTGTGATCATGCCACTGATCGACTGCCTGTCGCACGGTTTCAACATCCGGCTTTGCCAAAGGTATGGCTTGGACCATGCCAAATAAGCGTGGGCGTAGGCTCGGCAGACGTGGGGCAGTGATCGGCACACGCCCGGTATCCACAGCGTTGGCAGTGACAGGCAAGGCGCCCAGGTGAGGCGCATGGAAGTCGCTTCGGCGACAAGACCGTGTAGCCAGCAGATGCGCACCAGCAGGATCACAAAAAACACGGCGCGCTTGAAAGAGCTGCCGGCGCGCCAAGGGATGTGCGAAACAATCGTCAAAGGCAGAACGGAGGCTGTGCGTTGTGATGGTACTTCGACCAGGCCGACAAGCGGAGCGGCAATGGTTGTGGGGGATTTACCTTTGGAACAACCGTGGCTTGGCACGACGCTTCAGGTTTGGAAGAGTTTATACAACACCGAAAAACTTGTTCGCGAAATCGATCAATGACGTGCAAAACGAGGTGCTCTTGGTCCTGCATCATTGGGGAATAAAATAAAAGGGGAGGGGGGGGGGGCAGGCGGTGTGAGGCTAATAGAGGGGCCTTTTAGCAAAATTGACCTGTGGTGACGGGGTTTGAGCAGGATGTGAATGAAGGCAGCCGAGAAGGACCAACCTGTACACCAAGGCAAAAGCTTGAGATGACGAGTGTATGGACATGACTCAGTCGCAAGGGCAAGAGAATGCCATCGTTGTAGTACCAAAGGCTCCCAGCACTACTCAATGCCACAAGTCGCCCATCCTGACCCAGTTGCACGCTAAAAATTTCCATGGCACGCGCAGGATGCCAGAAAAAAAATACGGGGG